ATTTTCAGTCTATTCGATGCTTTGACGAATAGCTGAAGTCCTTCCGGCGCTGCGTTTATCATCTGGCCGTCGTCGGAGTTTCGAGTCTAAAACTGATGAGTTGAGTTTGGCTCGTGTCATTGAGTTGACTTAGAACTGACTATCTCCGTCACATCGTGCTGACTTAGGGTTTCAGATCGTTGTTCGTTGACTTTTGGTCGCAACGCGTTGACTGGCGTTGACTTAGGATTACGCGCTGACCGGCGTTTACCTAGGGTTTCGGATCACCCGGCGTTAACTTTTGGCTGCAACGCATTGACTGGCGTTGACCTAGGGTTACGCGTTGACCGGCGTTGACCTAGGATTTCGGATCGCTTGACGTTGACACAGTTTATACTCGTACGTTTGCTGGAGCATACACAGTTTAAGCTCTTAAGGTATTGGAGCACGGTGATCCCAAATGTCGGAGATGCAGGACCAACTGTTAAAGCAGATTCATCTGCATGTATAGATCTTATCCCGAAGTTGTTGGATGCTCAAGTCTCGAGACCAACTAATGGAGCTGGTGCGTTAATGACTCGCATTTATAGAATTTTTGGCAAATTCTCAGCCATCAACGGGTTTGATTAGCCTTTACCGACTACCGTTTGAGTCGGGCTAACATGCAGATTGTTTAGATCCGTTCTGCACATAACGTTGTGCTAAAAGAGTTAACTCTTTTAGTGCTACGACATTGAATACGTAGACTTTGTCTTTCTCACGGGAATAGACTACCCGGCAATGTGTGTTAGATGTAGATTTAGGATTTTTGGCAAATCCTTAGCCATCAACGGGTTTGATTAGCCTTTACCGACTACCATTTGAGTCGGGCTAGCATGCAGATTGTTTAGATCCGTTCTGCACATAACGTTGTGCTAAAAGAGTTAACTCTTTTAGTGCTACAACATTGAATACGTAGACTTGTCTTTCTCACGGGAATAGACTAACCGGCAACATGTGTTAGACGTAGACTTAGGATTTTTAGCAAATCCTCAGCCATAAACGGATTTGATGTGCCTTTACCGACTACCGTTTGAGTCGGGCTAGCAAGCGGATTGTTTAAATCCGTTCCGCATGTGACGTTGTGCTAAAGGAATGAACTCCCTTAGACTTGATGCTACGACTTCGAATACGTAGACTTCACCATTGTTACGGGAATAGGCTACCCGGCAACGCGTGTTAGGCGCTTACTTATCCTTACTTAGGATTCTGGATAAAAGTCCCCAGACTCGGATTCTGGTATCTTCTTCAATCAGTAAAAAACTAAACTGGCAACGTGTGTTAGGCGTTGGCTTATCCCTGCTTAGGCTTCGGGATAAAATTCTCCATGCGTGTGAGGCACGGATTATGGTGTTATTAATAACAACCTGCCATAATGTTGAATATGTGGTCTTTTGTCTTTTTTTATGGTCAAAAACTAACCGACAACGCATGTTAGGCGTTGACCTATCCCTACTTAGGATTCAGGATAAAATTCCCCATGTGTGTGAGGTACGGTGTGACGCCCCTGGGTTCACACAAGGCTGCAGTCCAAGGTGAAACCAAGAATGTCAAACCTGCCATGCACCACACCGTGCAATAACATGTTTCACCATCACAATTAACATCTATCTAGTAGAGTCAACAACTGGTGTAGGTAGAAAACAGGTAAAAGATAATACAAGATATACTAATGGAATGATAACAATCACATAAATATCTCATCATCCCACATACAGAAATACATAGCCAAGATCTGAGTAGATAAACTGGAATACTCAACAAGTCTCAAATACAAATATCTGACGAAAAGGAAATAAGGCACGCAGCCTTTACAACTTCTAGAACAAGACTCTCAAATGTCTAAATAAAAATCTACTGTGGAACTCCAAAAGAAAATATAACTAAAGAGACGGCTGAAGCTAAAATGCATCGCCATCAGTTTACGACTCTCCGGGCTCCTGGCTCGTTACCTGAAAGGGGGAGGGACAACGAGCGTCAAAGCGCTAGCGAGTAACATCACAACCAACCCCAAGGGAACAGGGCTCGTTGTATAAGAAAAATACAGTTAATATATAAGAGATCAAAAATCATTGATCTTACTAAAGAGGGTTTTAGTATTTAGAAATTTACAACACGAGCATAGGTACGTCGAGCGAAATAATCCAAACAAGGAAACCCTCATGTATATACCTTACATCTCAAATTGTAAACTCCTAAATACCAAACCCAAGGTTCTAGTGCAGTAATAATAATAAAAGAAATACGACGAACACCAGAGCATGAAAACAGTGTTGTGACATAGCCCACATGAGTATCATGTTATTACTTACATGAATATCATGTCAAAATCTACATAAGTGTCATGTCAAACTCACATGAGTGACATGTCAGAAAACGATTAAGTGTCCAAAACATAGACTATATAAATTAAACGTCCAACCCATAGACTGCATGAAGTAAACGTCCAACTCATGAACTGAAAATAACCGTTGTCCAACGCATGGACCGGATGTGACCGTTGTCCAACGCATGGACCGGATGGTAATGTATATCCAACACGAGGATTAAATAGCAATGCATGTCCAACACGAGGACTAAGTGGGAAGGGTGTCCAACACGAGGACTAAAAGGTAATGCTTGTCCAACACGAGGACTGTGGATTTTAGTCCAACACGAGGACTGTGAAATGGTGAACATATCACTGGGATACATAGTGAAATCTACCTATATCAATTCACAGTCAAAACAGTGTATATATCCATAATTGGTACCCTCAGGTCTTCTATCATGCCTCGTCGCGGTCGACCGCAGCCCTAAAGCGAGCCCGGCGGTCGACCACTCCGGTCGACCGCCAAGTGGACAGAAACCAAATTCTGGGTTTCTGTCAGCTCGAAACCTGAAATAAGATTTGATATTCTACGATAACAAGAGTTTTAACGATTCAAAAATCATACTAAAGATAAACAATAACCCCAAGCTTGAAATCTGCATTTTTAATATTCTAAATCCATGAGAAACAAACCAAAAACGTTTTAATAATCTGTAGAAAAAATGATTTAACTCTTGTTTAGGCAATTTCAGATCTAGATCTTATTGATAAAAGTCCTTTGGTGAGCTTTTAAAGTTGAAAACATGATTCTCATAACATGTACCATATAGATCTACTATCTCTACAAGAAAATACGATTTTTGGCCCAATAAATTCAATAAAAACTCAAACTTTGTATGAAAACAAAAGGGGTGGAGTTGGGCGAGAAGTTACTCGCCTGAGGGGTGTAGATGAACTCCCAAAAACAAGTGAGAATGATCCTCCTTCGCTGAACACCGATGGATCTCGCGTCGACTCCTCCAAAATCCTCCAAGAATGGATCTAGGGTTTGAGAGAGAAGAGGGGGGCTGCTAGGATTTGTAAAACAGAAGAAAAGAGATGATTTTCGTGATATAACATGTATATATATAGCAGCAAACCCGAAACCCGAAACCCGAAACTGGAAATTCAGTCTGACTAGGAACATTCTCTTTGGTATTTTGGCTATAACTTTCTCATACTAGCTCAGAATAAGGTGATCTAAGATTTGTTGGAAAGATCTTGAAGAGACCTACAACTTTGGTATTATACACTTTTCCAGATTCTTAA